AAAATGCAAAACGTATCTCTGAGATACATGCCCACATACACACACACACGCACAGGCAGCATATACACAGATGAATGTAATATGAGCATGAGTGCGAGTGCAAGAGCAAATGCTAATGCTGTGTGTGTGTGTGTGTGTGTGTGAATGCGCGCGCGTAAATGTGTTTGTGTGCGTCGCGCATTTCATTCGCTCGCAACGCGACGAAGCGGAAAAAATAAAGCGAATAAAATATAAAAATGGAAACAACAAAACAGAAACTGAAACCGAAACGGGCAGCAAAACATAATGGCGCATTCGCTGTGCCGGTTGCCCGCTGGCTGGACGATCCAACAGAGCGAACCAGCGAACGAGCCCACTGACCGACCCCCACACCCCACAGACACGATTAACAACAACAACAACCACCTACCCACTATTATATGGGCGCTACACGCACGCCCATGTTGGGTAAGCAATTGCGTGTGTGCCTATGTACATATGTATGTATGTGTGTCTGTGAAGATGAAAATTTCGCGTAAACAATAAAATAATGTAAAAAAGCAACAACAACAAAATGAAACCGGTTAAAAACCTATGAATAAAAGGGCCAAAAAGACGCTTTCTGCTAGTGGTAACTCTTTGCCTTGCCTTCTTCTAGTTCCGATTGCAGGCGGCAATAATGAAGAAGAAGAAACCGCATTGTTTTTATTGCAGACGGCGAAAATAAACCTTGCCTTGCTGCGCCTGCCGGTCTGTAGATCGCGTCGAAAGCTTTTTGGTCGCTTCTCTTTATGCACTTGCAGAGAATATTCGACATTTGGCATTTCTATTTACTATATTCTATATCAAATATTAGCCTTCAGTCTAAACCAATGCACAGATCCCTGATTCACAAATCTCACTCTTTTATCTTGGCAAGAAAATAATACCTATTTTATTTTATTTAAATCGACATTTGGTATTTTTTAGCTCATTTCATTACGTGGAAGAGCATTGCATTTTCGTCGTCTTAAATTCGCCTGTTCTTTTGCCATTTCTCATTTGTTTGTTCGTTCATTTAATTTCGCCGCATTTACACGGGCCAGCGAGAGCTTTCGGTCAGGCGTCCGTTTTTGCGCGAGCGCTTGCAAAGTCAATGAAACAAACAAGAACAAAAAATAACTAAAGCCACGCCCTTTCACAAGGCGTCGCGAGGCGAGACGTTGTATTTATTAGTGCTTTGATAATAAGCTTTTATATGTGCCGGTGCATGTGTGCGTGTATTCGTGTATTCGCACTATATGTATATGTGTATGTGCGTATGTTTCGTTTATTACACTTTATCGCAGCTCGTAAGCAGCTGCAGCTGCTGAGCGGCCGCCAGTGCTGGAAAAATCCAATTAACAATTTTATTAGCTATGGTTGAAAAATAATTCATAAATTCATTCTAAACAAAACTGTAATAATCATAATTTTTATGAGTTTTTTTTTTTTTTTGCTTTGCAATTGGTTGTGTGACTGTGTGTGTGTGTGTGCGTGTGAGAGAGGCTTTGGCATTTGTCGCCATTGCTGTTTATTGCTATTTATTCTATTGCTTTGACATTTGCGTTCTTTTTATTTGTTGTGTTTTTAATTAAATTAACTATACGTGAATACAAAACGATGACGCGACCTGAATGCAACAAATGCATTTTCAAGATGGCGCCAACTCCCTATCCCTGCCAGTTCCATTCCCCAATAAATAAATTTCATCTGCCATTGATTTTGAAAGCTTGCCCCAAAGGCGACATTTCGCTCGCTCGCCTCGAAGACGCTTGCATACTTAATCAAATATCTTTACACACACACACACTCTTCCTCCCGCTCCCTCTTTCTCTCATGTGCCTCTCAACTGCCTCGAGAGCCCAACAAAGAATTTAATACAAATCGTTGCCTGTCAGCGTACAAGAAGCCAAACAAATTATAACAGGTGCCGTTGCCGTTGCCGTCGCTGAGTGCATTAAGAGTCGCACACAGACACACACACAGATACAGAAATGCCCCCCAGTTATGGAATTGAGTCCGGCATGGAACATATATTGTTTGATTTTTGGTGGGGGGGACATTGGGGTAGCCCAAAACGTCAGCTAATTTTCCATCGGATAAGAGGCAATCGCAGGCAAGTGCTAAACTGGGAATCTGTAAACCAAAACAGCAGTTAACGTCACTGAGATTCACACACACACAGAGACAGAGCGCAGTCAAAGCAGCCAACAGCTCCCACAGTCAATGATTTAATGTGGGAACAGCAAATGGCGCTGATGTTAAACACGTGCGCGTTGCCGGACAGCTGCCCCCCACTCTCACCCTCTCTCACTCCCTCACTCTCACTCTCCCACTCCCACTCTCTTTCTCCTTTTGAAGTGTCACACACACACATTGCTTGATTTAATTTAAAAACGATTCAAAAATCAAGCCAACTTCAATGAATTTTAAACTGTGCGTTTAACCCAAGTAATTAAAGCTGTGCCTCAAATGACGAACGCAGAGATGATGTTGAGGCTGCAACAGCGCTGGGGCACGACTTCAACTTCAACTCCGACTCCGACTCGGACTCGGACTCGCTTCATTTGAGAATTTATGACTTTTTGACAGCCCACATTATTCGTTAATCGTGACTTTTGGTCCAAAATCTCCGAGTCTCGTTTCAGTTTAACAGTTTTTCAATATGCCCTAGGATTTGATATTAAAAATCGGACGCGCGAATGACACCAGCATTATGCGTGTGTGTATGTGTGTGTGTGTGTGTCCGTCCGACATCCGATTGAGCCTGTTTCAAGTTAATTTAATTGACAAACACTCACCCACATATATCAGTGGCAACCCTCGCTATAATCGAAGTGTTCAATTAACTGTTGAATTTTATACAATATTTTATGCAAAGAAAACGAAAAAGAGGAAGAAAGTGCGAGAAGAAGCAGAGTTGGATGACTGGGAACAATGTTTGCACAAGGCTATCAAAAGGGGCAATTCGGAGGAGCCCAAAAAAATTCCGAAGCTATTAAAAATTATGTAAATAGCCAAGTATCTGACTCAGTACATACATATATGTATATGTCTGTATGTGTATATTTATGTATAAAGTCTGGCTCATTGTTGATCAACGCGGCACACTGTCTATCAACAATGAAATAAAAATGAAAGAAAAACAAAAGAGGCCTAACAAGAGTTTTATTGAAGAAAAGAGCATACCTGTGCCTATGCACACACACACACACACACACACACACACGCATGCATAGATACTCACTTACTCTCACACACAGCGGCAATAAAACCCATTTAATATTCATTTAAGGTACTAACAAATAATGCAAATATTTAAACATTTTATTTACATATGAACGCCATCAAAGAGTTGAATTGAAAGAGATCTTTCAATTGATGAAAGGTGAACGAGATATACCCACTGGAGGGCCCCAGCCAATACACCTACCTCTCTAGGTCTAGGCAAAAGCCACTAGGCACTGGGCACTTGCACAGGCCTGGTCCAAAGCAGAAACAGATGAATCTATTTGTATTTATGAGCCTGTGTGTGTATGCACTTAGTGTGTGTGTGTGTGTGAGTGTCTCCCTCTCTCTGCATGTGTGTGTGTGTGTATAATAAATGCGTTGTATGACCATTTAGCATGTCACCTTTTAACGGCTTCATAGCAAACAAAACGAACGGGTTACAAAAAAAGAAAGAGACAGAGAGGGCACAAAAACTGTGGACTCCGCTGCTGCGTCGTCTCTGCTTAATTTTGAATCAACAATTTAACATTATAATTACGTTTCGAATCATCTGCAAACAGACGCGCGACTCGAAGAATTGCATCAATACAAAGCTTTTAGTCATTCGTACAGAGCTTTAACATAATATATGAGAGCGAGAGAGAGAGCCTACATCTGTAGTAATGCCGACGGCAAAGCAGCAAGGAAGCTTTTAATAAATCATGTCAACTCTAAGGCGTATTAAATATATAATAATATTATATATTTCATTTAATATTTATATTTATTTATTATTTTCATATATTTAATATCTGTATATATCTATAAAGTCCCCTACACTTGACTCACGAATTCTTAGAAACCATTTAGTTACACTTACATACACTTAGTCCACTCAAATAAACAACTTTATCTATTTCACCTAAATACAAAGACTAATTGGTATTACGTCGACTCTTGACGTGCCCCAAGTTTTTTCAATTTTCCAGCTATTTGTCAAGCGTAAGAATGGATTAGTCAACAGTAATATAATCAAAGCTTTTTATAGTCGATTGGATTTTTTATTTTTAAAGATTATTTTTAAAAATGTTTTTAAACTTTTCATATTATAATTAGTGGAAGTCTTCCTTCTGCGTTTTAAGCTGAATGATTCGATGTGATTAAAACACAAAATATATAGCCTATTATAATTATTAAAAAAATAATAATATAGTTCTATTTCAAATATTATTTAAAGCTAATAAGTGTTTATTATTTGAGAGAAACTAAATTATAGTTCAAAAAGAAAACAAATTACTGGAATATGCATTTCTACATAAAATTTCAACTCGATTTTAATTGTTATTAGCCCAATATCACGAACTCTGTTCCACACTAAAACTGTTATACAATACAAATAGGAAATTGACTTCATATCGTTTAATTTAGATAAAACTATTTGCTATGGCATTAAAATAACTGCTTAAGCTACATATGTACACATACACACATACAAGTACACGCGCACATGCCATATGCCATTCTACTCATATTTGTTTCGTCATTTGTCTCATTCTCCGTCTTTTGTTTTCATTCGTTTTGCTTACCAAATCGTCACCCAAATCGGAATCGCGTTCAATAGTGTTATTTGAACGGCCGCTGCAATCCATAGTCGGATGCACTCGGAGTTGCATTAGTGCGAAGTTTCTTATTTAGTGCGGGCTTCGAGTGAAATTTGATTTTGATTTCGAATTGGATATGGAATTTTGATAATTATAATTGCAAAGCGCAGATGGCAAATTGTTTCGATTTATAGCGGAATCAATGCGCGAGCTTTCAACTTTCTACGTAATTTGCACAGCACACTTTGTTGTTATTATTATTGTTTCTTTTTTTCTTGCTTGCTTGCTCTCTTTCTATCTCTCTCGTTCACACTCTTTTTCGCTTCGCTGTTTGTTAGCCTGCTTTTCATTTACTTTTGCTCCTGCGTTTATTTCATCGATTTACCGTTATTAAATATTCGAATTGTCACCTCGCTTAGCGCTCTTCGTATTCTTGTTGTTGTAGTTGTTGTTGCTGCTGCTGCTGTTGATTTCGGTTGATGCCGCTGAAGTTGTGCCAAAAGGGAATAGCTCGAGAAGCACCGTTAATCGAACTCGCGTTATTTTTTGTGGTTTCGCTTGTTTTTAATTTTTGTATTTTTTGCAATTTCAGCACAGGCCCATATTAGCTTGAATTGCGATTGAAGGCAATTAAAATTAACACTAATATAAATAATTAAAATGTTATCGTTCTCCTTGTTGTCAGCTCCTTTTCGAGCGCTCACATTAAACACACACACACGCAACACCAAAACACATTTAGATTACATTGGAATAGTCGGCGAAACGTTGCTGTTGTTACTGTTACCTGATGGTGCCTGATCGGTATGATGATCGGCTCCTGTTGCTTATTAATTAACAATTTGTTCATTTATTTCACGTTTGATATCGCGCACTGTCCGCCGCTTTCGCCCGACGCACACGGAACTCCAATTGGGAATAAAAATGATTCTCTCCGCACATCAAAAACGACGCGACGAAAAGACAACGCGCGGCACAACTGCCTCTCTGTCGCTCGTTCTCTCTCCTGGCAATGCCATTCCCTCTCTGGTGCTGTCGTTCGCATTGGAACGACTGACAAGTGGAACGTGTGTGCGCGGTGGCTGTGCTTGTGTGTTTGTGCCATTCCCATTTGTTTTCATTTGTGATGCCGCTCGGTCTCTCTCTCTCTCTCGCCAGCTGGTCTGGCTGGCTGGCCAATCGGATTGTCGTTTCAGCTGTGCTCAGGTGGCATTCAATTAAATTTGTAATCGTAATCTATTCAATACGAAACTCGTGTATGTGTACAATGCGCTCGCCGCTCATTCGCTCGCTGCTCACACACACACACGCGACTTATTTGTAGATAACTGAGTGTGTACATGTTTGTATTTGTGTATAAGCTCTTAGTGGGGCTACACTATTGAGCATGTTTTTGATGCTTGAGTCGAGTGTTGTTTGTCTACTCCGTAATGGACCCATTTTGCAAAACGCAAATCAATGCAAACATGCTGAACAGTGCTTTCGTGTGAGTGTATGTGCCAGTGTGTTGTCCATTTGTATAGTTTGTGTATCTTTCAATCATAAATTTGCCGCTTTTTTATACGCGATTTAATTTAAAATACGCCCTTTTCATACGGAGAGCCGTAGTTTCGTGGGGCGTCAACATTTGTGTGGCTTGCCTATGCCAAATGCCGTTTGATATAGAGGGAAAACAGTCGAGCAAATTACACACTTTCCACCAGCGTCGGGAAAATACCAAATACAAGCACACGAACTTGATTAATGATTTGCGAGATAAATTACACTTGTAATGGCCCACAAACAAAACAAAAAAAAAGTAGGTTTGTTAGATAGGTAGGTAGGTGGGTATAGGTGGGAATGAATGTTTGGCTATATAGATAATATGGAATACCATTTACCGTTACATTTGCCAGCAGCCCACGCAAATAATTGCAGTTGCTCTTCGATTTTCACTAATTTGAGATTGATGAAAGCAGAGCTGGAGCAGCGCGCCAGCAGAGAGTATATCAATTTTCTCTCGACGGCCTGTCTGTGGAAGCTTAGTATATATGGAGTGTATGTATGTATGTATTTGCACGCTTTGGCATTTTGTAGGGAGCGCAGGCGCTCATCAAACACCACCAGGAAAGGCACAGAGCCAGCCGTAGCCGCAGCCGCAGCCACTGTGCAGGATAGAGTGGGGAGCGGCGGTTGTGGCAGTGGGGTGTTAGCCACCCCCCAAGCGCCAATGACGAGGCGGCAGCGACCCACAGACTTGACTGATGATGAAGTGAGAAAGTAATTAAATACAATTTTAAATGTGACTAATGAGACGACGTCAAATTCGTGGCGCAAATGAGTTGAGCCACGGGGGCAGGGCGGTAGGTGTGTGTCGGGCGGAGAGGGGCTGGAGGCGCTTGCTCTAACCATCGTCTGTGAGCGCAGCGCATTTATCAATATTCAATAAATAGAACGGCATTTTCGCACGCACACAACGACAGATCCGCAGATCCGTTGTGCGTGTGAAACAAAATGTAGCCATAAGATACACACAGCATAAGTGCACATAAGTGTGTGTGTGTATGTGTGTGTGTGTGCCTTGGCAAGTATAACAATTACCGTTTGTTGTTGCCGTTGTTAACTTTCATTTGGGGCCAAAGCTATTTGATTTTCAAAGTACGTCCCGTCCGCATTTCAAATGCTAAGAAAAAAATCAACGAAACAAAAAACGACACGAAAAAAAACAGAAAAAAATCCAAAACAACTAAAAAGCACAGGTGAAATTTGTTGTGAGCTGTTTTAGTGTTTAATTCATAGATACATACATTGGTAAATATATGTACGAGTATGAACATCGTTTATTTGTCAACACGTCCATTTCCTGCATTTTGTGTTTTAGCCGAAAAATGAAAAATGTGCCCGAAACAATTCGAAAATAAATAAATACGAATAGAGAAACGACAACAGATACAGATACAAATACATATATATATAGTATACGTATATATTTGTATCTATTTACATGTATTTCATGCTTTTTGTCGGCTTTTAGAGGCCTCATTAGTTGATGACTCTTACGAGTTTCAGATTTGGAAATTACACTTATCCATTGGCGTCTCTTTTCCCTTTTTCTGTTTCTTTTCTTCTTCTTTTTTTGGTGTGACTTCATAGGAAATTTAACATAAGAGTTCTTTAGGAATTTGATATTCCATGCACGATTGGGGGAATTCTCGCTGCTGACGCAAATTTACATTATTTCACCCTTAAAGTGAACTAAAGTTGAATTACCTTTCAGGAGCCCGAAGCCCCGAAAACTCATTTATCATTTTTAACGAAATTCGTGGACAAACATAAATTTCAGCTAAGAATAACTAGATTATAAGAAATAAATAATAATTAGAATTATTAGAATATTATTTAATATGTGATATATATGTACCTAAAAATATAATAGTATATTTTTCTTAAATATTTTTATTATATTTATTTTTATATTTTCTACTTTTTTCATAAAATATAAATATCATTTTTATATGAGTCTTTTTAAAATATATTTTATATATTTTAAATATATTTGTAATATATTAAATAAATTAAAATAAATATAGATATATGACTGGATAAAAAACAATATAAGGTCACTGATTCTAAAAGAGCCTAAGAACTTTTTTAAATTGTTAAAATTATTTTAAAATAATTATTAAACAACCTTAGGGCTTTCCCAGAAAAATATTTCTTATTTCATTTATTTATTTTCTTATTATTTATTTATTATATGACTAATTATTATTATTTTTATTCATATTCAATCACATTTCTTTGTTTTCTCTATTTTCCAACGCAAATTGATTTCATTATGCGGAGCACACGCCCCTCTGCAATTATCATAAGAAAAATCCCCAACTATGAACTTGAGATTAAAAGGCCATTAAAGTGCCCGCCCTCCGAGCCATCATCCTTTACCACCTTTTTGGCTGTTAACAAACGTGTAAATGGATAATAGATTGATATGGAATTGTTGTTGGTTCGTCCGATAAAAAATGCGAATTTAATTACATATAATTGAATAGACATTTCGAAACTTCAACGCGCAGAGGGTCCAGAGGTTCAATTAATTAAACACCATTTAGGCAATCATTAATAAATGAAATGCAATTTGTCAATCCACTGCGAGCGGGACAGACTATCAAAGAGTTGTGTGGCAAACGTGTGAGAAAGCGATTTAGTTCTCGAATGCCATCGCAGTCGTTCTCGATCGATCGGCCAGAGAGCTAACCAGCCTGCCTGACTGCCTGCCCAGGGCCAGAGCCAAATTGATTGACCAGATCAACGTCGTGAACGTCGTCGTATGAATGAACCCGAAAGCCACATCGATAATTGATGATATTTAACCAACTCATGCCTACGTCTATCTGTATCCAGCCACATGCAAATGCCCAGCGGATCATTTCCAGATCGAAATCGTTTCACACACTCACCCAAAAATAAAAAAAAAAAAATAAAACAAAAACAACGGAATTGGCTTGCGGCCCCAAAACAGCATCGGAAAAAGCTTCAGCCGAGCATTTCATTAATAATTTCCGAATAGCTCTAGCTTTAGACACACATATAACAAGCTTTTCAATACATCTCCCAATTAGTTGTAAGAAAGACAGTTAGAAGCAATCGACGATTTCATTCACAAAAAAAAACAAAGCAATAAAAAAAGTGAGGAATTTGTAGCAGAGCTTAAGCGACTGTAGCGATGCCCGCTCAAGGTGCGCATTTATGTATATATTAGAAGTTATTCATGTACACCCATGGGGAGAGACATATATATATATATAGCTGGATTTTGAAGACAATCTATGGAGTCTTTGTTCCTGATCTGGCTAGAGCATATCATAGACCTATTTCGATTGAATCTATTATAGTTAGAGTGGGTGAATATTAACCTTCTGATAACATTTTCTGACTGTAGCAGTTTCAGATATTCCACAGCACTGAAAATTTAACTATGGCATCTCAGATCTATTCGGCTAGAAAGTTAATTACATGCAGTTCCCCAAAAGATTCAGTCCTTTTAGTTTGTCACGCCCCAAAAAAGTCTAACGATTCTGTCTTCACGATTTGCCACGCCCCCCAGTTGACGTAAGTATAGAAGCACAATAAACATTGTATACGCTCGAGGTATACTATATAAAAGTTTTAAGTATTTAAACAATGGATCGATTTGTTGAAGAGATCCACAGCAAAACCCTCACAAAATTGGTTTCTGGTTCTCGCTGCAAAAACTATCAGCAAACCAAGATATCGTAGATATTCAACAATTGGGATCTTTAACTGGAAGAATATATATATTGGGGAAATAAAAAACAAAATTATTTTATAATAATTTTAATATCATAATTTTAAATCATCATTATAAATCATAGATTATTTTTTATTAGTATTATTAGTAGATTATTAGTACACAGAAATTGTCTACTTCAAGTCTTAACTATTCATTAGTCTAGGCTACAGTCCAGTCTAAGGTTCATGCCGTGCTGACAGGGATAGACTTTATAGAGATTGAAGACGGGACCGCTGCACAAATTACACCAAAAGCTAATATACTCCCTTGTCAAAATGAACGAGCTTATAAAAAGACTTTGCAGATAGTCCAGTTAGGCATCTATATCTAAGATCATTAGCACTCAAGCTTCATTCACAACAACTTATTCTCGCCCTTTCGCTCTCACCCTCTCTTTCACTCTTTCTCTCTTTCTCCATCCGTCTAGTTTATTAAAATAAAAATTTAGCCTTTTTTGTTTGTGGAAATAATTTTAATGAATTCGAGCAAACGCTGCCAAAAATAGAATATCAATTTGGGCAAAAAGCATAACGGATGCGCCTGTCAATATTTTGACAGTTTGGCTGCTCTCATCAAGAGGCCCACAACGCTGCGGCAAGAGACTGGAGAATCTGGAGACTGGCTGACGTCGCTGCTGGCATATGGAGTCAGTCGACATCTGCAGTTCCCACTGCAGCGCCCTCTGCAGCTCCATCTCCATGTAATGCACTCATTCCGGGAATATTACGCAGCGCACAGGGCTTTAATTGAATTTCTCCTCCACTGGCAACTGGCAACTGGAAGTGAAACTGGAACTGGAGCTGGAATTTATTTTGAATCAACTAAATAAATGGATTTTTTCGTATAAAACATCAGAAATGATTAATATGCGCTAATGTTTTATAACTTTGCCCTTAATATGCGCGCGCCTATCAAGCTCGCTTCAAGTCCTGCTCGTAGCCGTCCCGGGCTGCCGCAGTCAAAACAATAAAACTGACTCCAGAGACCCGGGCAGAGTGAGGCCCAGTCAGTAAAAAATGCCAAAAGCGATAAAAGAATGAACTGTATCGCCTTTGTCTGGCCAAACAGTATAAATATGATATATATAAAGATATATACATATATATGTATGTACATATATGATTGTGTCTCACCCGCTCACTCTCTGTCTCGCTCTCTCTTTCCCTCTCTCTCTGTCGCAGCGTTCCACACATCAACTGTTTGACTGATCTCGATCTTAACTGCTAATGACTTTAATCGTTAATCTCTGACATAAAAGTTCTCCGATTGAAGCGCAATCTGAACACAAATGCAATAAATTACAAATGCGCATCGAGCTACCTCTGCCTCTGCTTCTTCTTGCTCTTCCTTGAAGTTCTCATTTTGAGTATGGGTGGTATAGGCAGAGCTGAGATACGGTTTTTTTTTATCGTTTTGCATTAATTCCTGGTATCGATTAGTCTAATCGAATCACGTTTGACAGCGCGAAAGTATGTACAAAAAATATACATATATTAATTTATTTTTTTATTTTTTTTATAATATATATAAAAGTCTAATTGAAATTACATAAGCAAATGCTGACTAATTGTTAGTTATAATTTACAATTAATAAATAAAATAATATACATATATTAATTTTTTTTTTTATTTTTTTTTTTATAATATATATAAAAGTCTATTTCAAATTATGTAAGCAAATGCTGAACAATTGTTAGTTATAATTTACAATTAATTTAACACAATGTAAAATTGCATTTGGCAAATTTATATATTTGCTTAATTAATAAATACTCAATAATATTTATTGAATATTTAACAATAGCAAATTTAATGACTGAAAATATGGTAAAATGTAGTTAGATTTATATACTATAAACATCTATCCAAATATTTTTATATTGAGCAATAATTATAAACAATTATATATGCATAAATATTTTATATATTTTTATGATTTTCGTAAAAAATGACAATAAATAATTGTAAAATATTTTCGCATGTGTTGAGTTCTTAATAATGAGATGCTAGCAGCCTCCCTTTCATTACTCATTATTCATTGTTGCAGGCTGCCAAATTTAGTCATGCATTAATAAACGATTAAGTATAAGAATATATATATATATGGAATATCTATATATATTTCATTGTATTCATTCTTTGTATTAATTTGTATTCCAAGTACAACAATTGAGCCATTTATATATATTTAAAGTATTTTTCCGTTAGTTTATGTGCAGTTTATAATACCATATAATGTCAGCAGTGAAATGTGTGCACTAAATTGTGATAATTTCATTATGTTCGCATTGTCAAATACAACAACAACAACAACAACAAACACATATCTGCTCACACCTCCTAGCACACTCTGTGGATGGCGATTATAAAACCATAAAAATACAAATACAATGCGAATGACATCAATAATGACATTGAATTGGTAGCATTGTTGTTGTTGTTGTTGTTGTTGTTGCTGTTATTCATGTGTTGTTTGACACAGCCTTGAAGAGGGTATTGTGATTTGTAGACAGGTTTTGTAACAGGGTTCTGTGAGGGTTGATTGCTGGAAAGTGAATAGATGCCAGATAGAAAAGGGCTGAAAGAATGGGATTCTAGATGTATTTTTAATTGTTAAAATATTTTATTAAATAGTACTTTTTTTGAAAATAATTAAAAGTATTTTTGTTATATTTTTATACAAAAAAAAAATATATATAAAAAAATATATATGTCTAATTTTTTTGTTTTTATATATACAAATAAATTTGTATACATTTTGTTTATATTTCAAGGGAAATATATATAGTTAATATAAATGTAGGTGCTTGGTAAATTTAATTTAAATATTAATATAATATTTGTATATTTATTTAATTGTATTTATTAATTAATTATTTTATTTATTATTAATTAATTTTATTTATTAATATAATATTTAAATATTTATTTAAATATTAATATACATTTTAATATATTTATTTAAGGTCAAAGTCACTTGCAAAGCTGTCGATAAAAAAAACTAAATATTTAAAACAATTCAACGAATCATACAAAGCACAAGATATATTGTCATAAATTTAGATAAATATTTATTTAAATATTTTACACGATTTTACACGCTGCATTCCTCTTCGATTTGCTCTTCAAATTGAATTCTCTACTGTTTCTCCGCATTCTAGTGGATGATAGATGTTACTATTGTTAATTATCGATAATATCATACTTCGATATATCGATATTTATTCCCTCTAATTGTAATAAAAATTAACTTCGATTATGCAAAAGAGAACTTCACTAAATATTAGCCCCAATTTAACATATTTTTCTTTAGGGCATTTAGCATTCATCTAACAAAATCGTTCTTTTTATACACATTTGTGGCTGTTGTTGTTGTTGGTTTAGTGTGTGTGCGTGTGTTGTTGTGGCACCCTCTTTAGTTGGTCATTTTGTTTTATACCCGCTGCTTTATTTATTGTGTGTTTATATGCGCCGCAATTGAGGCAAAGACATGGGCAATATAATATGCATACATATATACATATATATAATTATAATACCTGCTTGCATGCCCAAGAGCTACTGGGCTGGAATTGGGATTGGGATTGGGCGTGCGCTTGTCTGGCTTCGATAGGCCGTTACGTATACGCCGCATGGGGGCCGCGGGCAGGGAATGCCGACATATCAGTTCATATATCGCTGGGACAGAGGCAAAGAGAGAGAGAGAGAGAGAGAGACCAAGAGTGACGCGTTTGCCCACACGTAAGCAGAACAGAATGTCATGTGAAATGCCGAGCAAGTCAACAAACTATTTCGATAAAGAAATTATATTAAATTGAATGAACAGCAACAGCAGCAGCAGCGGCAGCGGCAGCGGCAAACATGTCCAGCTGTTGACGTCCGTTGCCCAATGGCGCAACAACAACAAACAATACGAGAAAATAAATAAATAAATAAATTAGCAGCCAGCAGCAGCAGCAGTCCGATTCGAGCTGAATTCAAATTGAAAATCTCTCTCGGCCAGGCCGCAATAAGATTGACGACGGCGACACGTTGATTAATTAATCTGATGCCCGTCTGACATTTAGGGGCGTCCTAATGTCGGGCCCAGTTTGCAAATATCTCAAGTATTCGTATGGCTACAGCTAAGGCCCAAAAACTAAATGCGTTTGCCCAACGCAGACAGACAGGAAGTGTTGCGTTTTTAGCCCACGCCCACGCTGCTCGCTCCAGCCCTCCAATTGTCATATCAAATCGTAAATGTGTGCGTGTGTGTGCGTGCGTGTGTGTGTGTGAAATCAAATCCCATATAGCATGACATCAAAAACAATTCCACAGTTGCTGCTGTCCATTCGCAGCTACACATTTAATTTGGGTGACTTTTATAAATCGCTACATATCGCACAATGTTTGAAAATTAAAAAACCAAAATGAATATTTATAAAAAATCAAGTAAGATTGCTAGGCTTGAGAGTTATTGGCTAGCAGATACCCTAAGCTGAGCGAAGAGTTGATATACATATATATAGTATATATACACAATACATGTAGGCCTAGTCATAGGATATTTCTTTTCTTTACTATACGATTTTAATTATTAAATAACTTTTAATCTAGATGAAATTTCTTAATGCAATAATGAGAGCATGATTTTAGATGTCTGTTTTATAGTATTATAGATCTCGTTTGTTGATAGCTGATGCGGTGGGTATGCAAGGTGGTAATCATAGTATAATCTTCAATATATGTATGTGTATATGTATATTTAAAACACAGTATTTAGGTATTCTCTGTGTATTTAGGTATTTTATAAGGAAATCGTCACAGTAAAAATTATAGCGTTCATTTATTTGGGCAGATACAAATGGATCTACTAAGAAGAACAAGACTATATAGTCTCAGTACCTCACACCAATCCAGAGTTTAACTACATCTTATCAAATCACTACCACACCCCCATCTGCTTGCTGCACATATATTCACCACAAACCAATATACCCGTTCCCATTATGTTGATGCAAAGAAATTTGGCTCAGCGAGTTTTCTATTTATCAGAATGCGTCTTGTTTTTGATATGAAAAAGCATAGTCAAAGCAGCAACAAAAATAAACAGCACACGATTTATT